AATTAAGGGAAGATTACTTTATTTACCGAAATTGCCCCCCGAGGCTGTGGTACTTTGATTTTTTAGCAACGCCGGGGAATTCCCCTGACTTCTAGGCACTTAATTTACGACGTTGGCTACTTCGTGGATTCACACGAATTAATACGAATACGAGGGATTCTTCCAGGTTACTTCTTCCTCGTAACTGGTATGATTTAATTAGAATGGCTCGGAGTTGCTTAATCTGCACGCGCCACTCACGTACTGGGTGCTCCAAAAATACTTGTGTTTATACACAAATTCTCATTTGATTTGACACATTAAATAGGCTTAACCAATTCTGTCATTAACATTGTTCAATACTAATCCTACCCGAGAAATGATCTGTTCTTCGATGAACAGGTTTCGAGGTCTGTATCTGGGAAAGAAAGCATTTACAAATTTCTATTTGCGTGATATGTTTTTGTCGCTACTATAAGCATAGATCCTTCAAGTTAGGTCACTTACTTTAGGAACACCCAGTATATGGGAACAAGACTGACGTTTTGTTCTCTACCATATAAATCTAGTTACAAGCACACGTGATCCTCTTAATCGTATTATTGCCCCTGCTAATTCCTACGCGAACAACATTGATTTCTTGTTTGGTTCCCTGACGTCATTCACTGATATACATATACCGCTATATCAATCCCTTTTACTGGAACGAAATTAAAATATTGTAAATATGCTCATGTACGATCAGATCACACTATTTCTCTTTATTACCAATAATATTTTTCGATCGTGTCTTTTTAGTTTAGAAAACTCGGTAATAAAAATTATTATCGTGTTAAAATAAGACTCGAGAAGGTTTTGTATACCAGATCTTAAATATTGTCTGAAATCGCTAGAAAAAAAAAAACTGAAAGCAAGAGAGATCATAGTCGCGTTTTCGCCTGGTTCGCGCGTTCAGATCGAAAGGATAGGATCGAGTTCCTTTTTCTGCCGCAATCCATTAACCTCCACGAATGCAAATGGTCGTCGAGCAAAGGCCAAGCTCTCCCGCTCCTCGAGACATTCTAATCCAAAGCGAAAGTCTCCGCGTGTCTCTTTCTCTCTCCGTTTTGCTCCTCCATTCGTCACATTCGGTCCCGTTTTCATCGGGCTTCTTTTTCCACATTTTCTCCTCATCGGCCTGCGCGCGGCGTGTGTACTCGACGCCACGCGTGCGTCCATTAGGCGTGTACGGATACGAGTTGAAGTTCGCGGTACACTCCTCGGAACAACGTTTCTTCTGCCGCGAAACGACGAACCGTCTCCGCCTGGTACGAGTTAATCAGAACTCGTTACGTAAAGACACACAGTCGGGGACGTTGGTCAGAGTTGGGAATCGTTCGTGCGATTTTTTTTACGAACATTCCTTCCTTCTCGTGCAATTTCTTACATTGCACGAATATTTACCCATTCCGTACCAGTACTTTGTTCAGAGTGTATTTAAAAAAAAAACATTTTTTTACAGGTAAATATTATTATTTAAATATTACTAAATTTGTCGAGTATATAAAAAATTTTAGTTCCATACATTTCGATAGTTTTCTAGAAACTTTTAAACAGGTTACATTTCCTGCAAACCAACGCGGTACCAAAATGGCGGGAAATTTCAAATCTGATTCAGGCACCGGGTCTTTGGTGCCTATTTAAAGGTCTCGGTTTACAATGAATAATTATAAGTAGGAATAATATTGACACGTTCCCCTTTAAACAGTTCACCCTGTAGGCTTGCGTCGCTTGAATCCCCAAAGGTTAATCGTAATCGCTTTGACGACGGAACCATCGAACCCGATAAATTCTGTCGGCATCGAATGGCCGGGAAGGTCTACTCGTGTCCGTGACACGCGCGGAATCACGTTATCGATTCGATCCGCTCTGAACCGAGCGTTTCTCGCGGTTATGATATTGGCGGTCGTCTCTTTTCCGTGATTGCGCGGTTGGTTCCACGATCGGAACCCTTCTCGATCTAATTAATCGCGAGCAGATGCGATCGCGTCCATTTGCCGCTCGAAATTCTCCACCAAAAGATATTAAGATGCCCTGATTTTGGTCAGAGTCGAGCAAAATATCTGATCCCGTTTGCCACGATAAAATTACACGTCAGATTGCAATTACAGGATAATTACACAGTTTTTGTACCTTTTCAGAAGTTACAATTATTTTAAATGATCGGTATATCAGGTGGAGCACGGACCTTCATTAACATTACCATAATTTCTAAAATATTGAATATTTTTCCACGCAAAAAATTGTGGATATCCCTCGAACGTGTATCTATATATATGCATTGAAGCTCGATGCAAAAATCTTCGACCGTTTCCCTTCCAAAAAATTTCAAAGAGACAGCGAGAAATTGTGTTCCAGGGCAGAATATTCCCTCAAGACTTAGGCGAGTTTGCTGATCGTCGAGCACGTATCTCGTCGATGAATCGAATTAAATTGAAGCGAATTAATGTCTTCGACCCTTTCGTCGCGATGTCGCGTGAAAAGCGTCGGTTGATCGTGCGTCCAGTGCCCGGAAGCGACCGTGTAATAGCGAGTCGCGATCGCAGATAAGAGCAGAACGCTAGGCGTCCCGACGCGCAGACACCGACGACACCGTTTGTGTATCGCATTTGCTTTCGCCCGCCGCTACTTTCGCTCATTGTTACCGGCTTCACGCTCGAATTCGCTCGTGTGGACATCTCGCTCGATCTCGATTCAGCGATCGTGCGCGACGAAGAAAAAAAAAAAAGAGAAAAAATCGTTTCGCAACACATTAGCCCCGAAGGGGGAGAAGGGCATCGATCATTTCCACGCCAGTGCCTCGAAAATCGAATTTACAGAACCCAGAGCCATTCCATGGTTGAATTATTTACCGATTTAATTATTTACTTCGAGTAGAAACTAAGCAACAATGGCTGGAACTGGGTACAATTCGAAGGCAAACTGTTTTAAATAGGTACTGCATTATTCGTTTGTAAACTTTGCTTTTTGCTTTGTATTGAAGTCCTGTAGTACAAGTTCCTATACCACGGTCTTCCTGAAATAGTCGGAAGTCGTTGAAAAATCGTGATCACAGTTACGTGGGACACTCTGTATATAACAATCACTTCCAGTGACTTGCAAAAGTCTCGCTATCGAGGAAGAGATTAACGTTCCTTGACCATACTTCTGTCCCCTTTCTCACTATACTTCGATTCTATATAATTCTATTCCTGTACAGAATGTATTGTATTTTATTTAAGTTGAAGAATATTCTAATTTGTTTCACTTTATGGATGGTTCGGGAACGTGTCTGTAGCATCATTACAAATGCACGAATGAGTGCAACAGAAATCTGTGAAGGACAGGCGGTGCATCTATAGTGATGAAACATTTCCCAGTCAAATGCACGTGCCTCCACCCCCTCTCCCTGTCCCGTCCACTGATAGAGTTCAAACATTGACAATAGCAACGCATCAACGCTGCCACGCGCAGTAACAATGACTCGAGTTTGCTACATTTGGACCGTACACAACGTCACAAATATGACACGTCATTGCAATGCGACGGATTACTAATTACTAGTTGCAAAATGCGCGTGTCAAAATATCAAAACATTCCGTTATTATTCCAGCTGACTCGCAGATAGCTAGGAAAATGTAGAAATTTGACTGAAAGAAATTTTAAATCATTGGTTTTGGAGGAATTGCGGTGCGTCGAAGTCAGCTCAAAAGAATTCTGGCGTATCAAAGTCGTCTCAAAAGAATTCTGGCGCATCGAGTTCGAGTCGAAAGAATTCCTGCGCCTTAAATTCGGGCTCGATGGAATTCCAACGCTTTGAATTCCGGTGCAATCGAATTCCAAAGGTGGAAGAGGGAAGGAATGCGGTCAGTGTGTATCGATCGATGTTTTTTCCACTTTTCAGGGTGCTCTGTCTATCTTTCTGTGGACATCTGGTATACAGAATAAATGCAGGTGAACTCGGTTATAACGAGCACGTTCAAAGCGAGATCGTGGCTGTAATGAGCAAAAAACCATAATGATTTTAGTTTCCGCGTACCTCCGTACAATTGTTCATTTTATAACGAGCGTGCATGGATATACCGTAGAAATGTTGGGTAATTTGAAAAATATCAAAGTGAAAGCTTTAAACCAGTCTCCAATTACCAGATTCACAGAGAATGTGGGTATACAAAAATGAAGTGGTCCGTTAATCCAGGCCCATGAAGCAGTCCTTTTCAAACTTATTAACTGTCAAATATCAAAATGTTTGACAAAATATTAGACAAACACTAATGTGACGGACAAGACACAGAGGCAGAGTCGTGGTCACGATCCCTAAATAAAGATCATGACAGCTAATCGGTTGAGCGAAAGTGCATCAAATCGATCGAGACGTAAGGATTCCGAAATTGATCGGTTCCAGCCAGCTCCGCGGGCCTCGCGGCTGACAGTTGGTCGGGAAACCGTAGGATCCGCGGCTAGAACTCGTACAACGCCGTGACTTCGTAAGACCCACGTCACGTCGTGTCCACCGAGGTGGGGTATGGCCGTTCGTTCGTCGGTTTCGCGGCGAACATCCGAGCGAGCGAGTCAGCCAGTCAACCTGAAACCGCGAGCAACCGCGACAGCGTGTGCCTCGTTGCTCCGTGCTGTTGCCGATGGCGCCAAGCCTCTCGCCGACACCAAATAAACGTTCGGATTCCGCGATTACCGGGGTTTCGCGGCACGTTCGAGGCTCAGCCGCGAACCAGGATTCGAGTCGATACTCTGCCACGGGCGGAGCGCGCGGTGCGTCGCATTTGAAACTGCGCGCGCGATATCGCGGCCGAAGTCGCGCGTAGGAGACGGTTCAAGGAAATTTAACCTGTACCGAAGGATATCGTGGGAATCGTGCCTGGAATTTAGTGCGCGTTACGTGGAATTCGTTTAAAGGGTTCGACAGTGTGAGTGAATTTTATTAGATCGCTGGTCGATTTCGGTGTGAAGGAATTGCGGAGAATTGAATTCGACGAAAAGGAATTGTGGCAACGTACAGAATTGGTTTCGAAGGAGTTCTGAGGCGTATGAAGGAATTTTCGGATATAGAAGTTGACTCAAACGAATTCCAACGCGAGGAATTCGGTTCAAACGAATTCTAACGCGGGGAATTCGGCTCAGAGACGTTGCAACTCGTCGAACTCAAAGTGCAAACGGATTGTGACTCGTCGAATTTGACTCAAATGAATTCTAGAGGCGCTGGACTCGACTCTAACGAATCAAAACACATCGGACCATGTTCAAAGCGAATTGAATTTAATTCCAAGGAACTACGACTCGTGAAAGTTGGCTCAAACGAATTCCAAGAGCCACCGAATTCGGTTCAAAGTGGTCAAGCGAATTCCGATGCGGTTCAACTCGGTCCAAACGAATAATAAAGCCCCTAATTTGACCCAAAGTTAATTCTAAGGCCTTCTAATTCAGTTCCAACGAAACGCAAAGCCCTCCAAGTCGGCTCAAAGCGTCCTAAGATCGCGCGATGCGCACCAACACCGAGGAAATCGCCTCGTGACCGAAATTCTTACGTAAAATCGAGCCGAGCCTACGTGTCATTGGTACTTCTTGTTCGACTCTACCGTAAACTGTGCAAAGTGCACAAGTGAGTCGCGCGAATCGGATGGAAAGCGAGCCAACTCGCGGCGGGGCGTTTCAATATTGAAACCGTGACCGGCGGGAACGAACGGGCTGGTGAAATCGAAGATGCGGCGAAAGCTCGTATTGGAAGTTCAAAGGATACAGGCGGCTGGTCTATTAAGCGTTTTGCTCTCGCGTTACGCCCGTGGAAAGTCAAAGTGAGGGAGGGGAAGGACGTTGTTCGACGCGACTTTCACGTAGCGCCGTTTCTGCTCGATCGCGTTACGAAAATCCGTGGCCTGTCGCTGGCCTGCTCGCGGAAAACCTCGATTCGATTCGTACAGGGTACGTTGAACTTGGCTAATAGGAATTCCAACGCATCGAATTCCACGCGTTGGAGTAACAACGCCTCGAATCGTGCTGCAAGGAATTGCAATTCGTCGAATTCGATTGAAATAAACAGCCGCGCATGATCTATGATGCATTCGATTTGACTCAAATGAATTCTGAATGAATTCTTGAGTCAATTGAATTCCGATGCGTCTGACTGTTGTGAATTCCGCTGAAAAGGAATTCTAATATGTTGAATTATGCTTGAGAAAGGTCTGTAGAGTCAAATGGATTTCAGTCCATAGAATTCCTCGCGACAACTCGAAAGCAATAAAAGGTCCGAAAGTGGTAATACAGGAGTGGAAAGATGAAAGTAAACAATGTATTCCATTCAGTTTACAAGCTCGATGGACATTAAAAAGACAGTGACGATTACTGCCGGCCTTATCGTGAATAGTTGGGACGAGAAATGTAGATGTTTTCGTATTAATTCGATCGCGTTCGAGTGCAGTTAAGTGGGTCTTGGAGAGTTCGCTGGTCGCAGGACCGTGAACGTTCGCGAGAAGTCATTTGTCAGATAAGCCAGCAGGATTTTTTGAGAGAAATCGAGTAGAGTGGTTTTGTGACGCGAGACGAGACAAATGGTCATCGATTCCATGTCCGTGAAACGATGACTTTTGCGAAAGTTGTACTCGTATCGTGAAACAGAATTGCAACGTTCTTTCATTGTTATACATTGAAAAGGAAAGGAAAGATTGTAGAAGTGCTGACGAACCGAGGAATCAAATTACAGAAAAGGAACAAAGCAGCCGTCTGAAACGGATATCAGACAGAACGGAGCTAGAAGTTCGTCGTGTTATCGATTATCGAACAAAGTACGGCCGCGCGAACTTCGAAACAAAGAAGAGGAACATCTGACACCACGAAGCCTAATCGAATCTTCCACGATAAGAAAAAAAGCAAACAAGGCTCGTTCCATTCTGTGGAATCGTGTTTGCCACGAATCAAACGAATAATATGGATCGTTTATCAAATTAAGGAAACAAACAAGTTTATTAATAAAGTCCAACGAAAAAAGAAACCTATCGTAGTCGAGTTTAAAATAGAAAATTGCTTGCGTAAGATGTAGAGGCGTGTTGGTGTGGATGAACGTGGTCGATAGTTGTCTATCGTCCCTGACGAGTCAGCGGTAAAAATTCCAGATTACGGAAGCAAAAAAGATATTTTGCATTCTCTGAATACCGTTGTTGTTCCCGAAGAAGAAATACATCGAACGAAGCGCGATCCGTAACGGTGGAAATCGTCGGTGGCGATCGAGCCTTGAAAATTCGGAAGCGATAACGATTATTGGCCCTGACGGCCATATCATTATGATAATGATGCGCATTATATCGACAGCATGTGCGTCATTAGGCTTCGTCAGTCGACGCGACGCCTGACATCAATTTAGAAACTGTCCGCGGCGACGAAATCTAATTATTTAACAGCCTAGTAGGCGTAACGCGTTTAGAGCGGCGACGCGAAATCGCGTGGAAGAAGACCTGCGTGCCGCCGCGCTTCTGATCGCTTTTCAGAAAACAGTCTCTGTGTCGTGTCGGTGGAGAAAGGAACGCTGCATGATACGGCCAGTGGTCGGTGATCGATGGTCGAGTTACGACGCCTCGAATCCCATTCAAAGCGATCGTAACATCCAGATATCGCCGCGGAGACGACAACACGATCGATTCGACTCAAAGGAATCCCCAAACGACGAATTCGATCGATCGTAAATAAACTGAAACGTGTAGAACTCAATTAAGAACGCGATGCGACGCATCGATAGAGGCTCAAAGGAATTCTGGCTCGCCCACGGTGGCTCAAAGGAATTCTGACTCGTTCACAGTGGCTCAAAGGAATATTGGACTCGTCCAAAGTGACTCAAAGGAATTCTGACTCGTTCAAAGTGGCTCAAAGGAATATTAACTCGTCGAATTCATTTTTAAAGTACTACAAACGCTTTGAGTTGAATTCCCCGGAACTGCAACCTGTCGAATTCAGTTCGTAGCAATTCCAACGCATCGAATTCAGTTCGTAGAACCTCGGATCTATGGAATTCCAGTGGTGAAAAATAAAAGTGACGTGGATCAGTGTTTAGTGATTGTTAATTTTGTATTTTTCAGTCCCTATTTACGTATATGGAGGCATGGAGTGTACAGAGTAAATAGAAACTAGATCCAGTAAGTTTGAATCAACAGTTTCGTAATCGATTGGAGAAGCTGAAAATGTCTAGCAAGTTTAATAAGACCCCGATAAATCATAGGAAACTTCATAAATCTTCAGCCGTCTCGCGATTATCGTCGAAGATACCAACGTTAACAAATATTTATTTCGACGAGAAAATTAAAACTCGACGCAATTTTTCATGGGATTTCAATACACCGAACGTATTAAGTAGAGATTAATATGATTTATATTTAGCCGTTTCGATAAAATTGTAGCCTAATTAATATCGAAAGACGAGTTATTGTTTTTCGTATTTAAAGATACGCACTCGATAACGGAATTATTTAATAAGATTTAGACGATTGTCAAATTTTTATCGTTTTCAGCGACTCATCGCGTAAATATTTGGGTATGATAAATAACGATTACGAAATAAGTTAAATTTGTTCTTCGAAATCCACTCGAAAACGGAAGAGTTAAGACAACGTTCTTGTCGACTTTGCAGGAAAACATCGATAAAAATAATTATAAAATACGAATCGACAAGAATCGATCCCATTGGATCGATCCTAGATCCTGTACTTTTTCGTGATTTCACCACGATCGCGTTCTCGTAACGCCGTGTCTGCGTTACGTGTCGAAGATCGCTACTTTTTACTTAATTGCGTAACTGTCATTTTGACATTTCGCGTTGTCATCGTTGATACGTTTAATTTACGTTTAATTACATCACAGCAAACACTGGGACATTTTTGCCAACGAATGCAAATAACGTTTGTTTAACATTCAGCGAAATTCTGGCTACAACGCTCGGGAACTCCAACGGCGACATTTCTCTTTTGCAATTTAATATTCCGCATAATAAATTGTTGCGTAAATTCGCAATCCACGATCCGCGTTCCATTATTGTCGACGGCGGTTTGCGGTAAATATTTACAATTTTAAATAAATATTCCGTACGAATTCGTTCCTACGTTGGTCCATTAATTTTCCGTGCGCGATAAATTATCGCCGGAATGTTGATTCGCGAATTGCTCCAAAATTATTACTCGTTGTTCGCGTGTAAAATTCAGCCAACTCCGCCTCAGACGTTTTTACTGGCTCCGGATCGTCCGATTTAAATTTCCGGGTGGCTGTTTGATAAATTCAAAATATTGTGATTGTCATGGGGATAATAGAGGGCCCCGTTACATTTAACAAAAAGGAAACGTTGCTCCAGTAATCGTTTGCGATCTCGCGGAAAAGGACCGTCGGAGGCGCTTGAGCGATCCAGGATTCGATATGATTCTCTCCGTGAATTAGTTTCGCAAGATTCACCGTGAAACGCAGAAACATAGAAGAGTCACAGCGAACCGTTTCCGTTCCAGCACGACTAGTTCGCGTTTCACACCCGATAAACCATTTCTCGTTCGTGTTTTTCATACGCGGCCGTGTGTTAGGATTAGAAAGCCACCGGGAACCTTTTTCCCCCGACCGTTAGCCTTAATCAGTTTCCCCAAACGAACCGTCAATCAAAGTTTTCGGTTCGTTCGATTAGAAACACCCGTTAACGGTAATCCCGTCGACCGGGCTCGTTTTCAAATCGTCGCCGTGACACAGCCGCGAATTAAGCAGAGCAATTTTAAAGTCTATTTTAATACCGACCGGGTCCGTGGGAAAGTTTTGTTTTCCTCTTCTCGTTGCTGCAACACGAACAAATAATGGGATCGATTTATGGCGTAATATCCATTCTGACGCAGATCTGTCCGCTATTTTTAGCATAATCGTGCATCCATTTTTGCTTCAAAGTCCTTCTAAGACTGTGTCGGAGACTTCACGAAGTCTTTTACGCTTAATAAAATTGTTAAACGACCAAAATTCTACTCCTTACTCTATTCTACTCTGCTCTAGACTGCTCTAGTCTGCTCTAATCAGCTCTATGTTAAGCCACTCTGCTCTTTTCTACTTCCACCAACTCGTATTGTTCTGTAAAGTAGTGTTCTACTCTAGTCTATTTGACTTTATTCTACTCCACTCTATTCTGGCCTATTGTGCTCTGCTCTAGTGTATTTGACTCTACTCTACTCCACTGTACGCTGCTCTACTGTCTCCTCTCTAGTGTATTTTACTCTATTCTACTCCGCTCTACTCTGCTCTAATCTACTCATATTCTACTCTGCTCTAATTTACTCTAAGCTACTCGCACTCTACCAAACAGAATGATAATCCAGCGATGTCGATTCGAAAGCTAATAATGAATAAGAGTAAATTGTAGCAGACTATAACATACTAAAGTAGCTAGAGTAGAATAAGAGTAAATTAGACTAGAATAGAGCAAAAAGAGCCTACAGCAGAGTAGAATGTGATTTAGAGCAAAATTAAAATCGTCTAGAGCAAAATTAGAGTCGTCTAGAGCAAAAAATCCTAGCACGGAATAGGAATAGTTTAGAGCAGAGTAGAATAATAATATTCGTTTAGAATATTTCTAAAACACATAAAATTTGCCGTTGGACTTTTATGGCGACCTGTATGCGCTCGAATAGGCAATGCCTGACGACAGCGCATATATTGATAGCTGAATGCGATAACTATGTTAACAGCCACTCTACACATTCACCGAACACGTGGCGGACAAACGAACATAGTGGTGTGCGGATAGCATTGCTGGTACCGTTAAGCTTACAGTACCGTTCATGAAGCAAGTGTTCCATAATGCGTTCATGTTCGATGTTTTTGGTGGATACGGTCAATTCGTTGATCTGCGCGGATTAAACGGGGATTGGAGCTTTTAACTCAGGGTCAAATCTATTCTCGTTTCTCGACAAATGTCTTTTTCCAAGGCTGGCGACATTCTTTGTCGCCGATTCGAATGATAGATTCGTCGATCGAGCGATACAAACGCGGGATTAAATTCGTGATCGATCTTGCACGTGTCCGGGTTAAGTAAATATTAATATTCGTTGTTTTCCCGCTGCCCGTGCGTGGAAATGGAAGCAACCTCCGTCAGTCGCGGACAATAAGTCGCGTTGAGAAGTCTGCATAAACCCAGCGAGCGTTCGGTGACGCCATCATCCTGCTTTTTCCTTGAGAACAGCCTCGGACACAATGCACGAGCGAACAATCGGGTTCGTACTTTCGTTTTAAACGTTATTGCGCCCGACCGTTTACCTTCGAAACGCGCCGTTTCCCGGTAGACTGGATCGTTTTGTGGGAATCTCGATGAAAGTTGAATTCTGACGGGTCGAGAGCCGCCTCTCTTTGACTGTTTTTAGCCACGACTCGTTCAAACTGGATCTGGAGTGACAAAATAACGCGACGGAAGTGCAGACCGTACACAAACCGATGCACAATTATCGACGTAAACATTCATACGTCGAACGCGAAAAGTAATATCGTTTCACGGGTCGGATTGTGATTTTTATTAAACAGAACTAGGATCGTTTATCTTGCATTGGTTGATCCAAACTTGTACACAGATAAGAAATATTCTAAATTTCATTTCTTTTTTCCTGAAATTATCTCAACGTGTTACCCTTATGCACAGTTTGTGCAAACCTGCTTGAAAAAGGTTGCGCAATGGCGGACAAACAACACAGAACTTACCTAATAAGAATTCGAAGAATGTTGTCGGGAGAAGAACGGTTCAGAAACGCGAAAGTATTCTCATAGAGACAAAAACAGATTGGTTAGATAAAAGTAATTAGAAAAATGGTTGGGCAACGATCAGGCTAGAAACAGTGACGAAGGGGAACATAAATAACGATGAGAAGAATCTCAGCCGCGGTCGTTTTCGAACCGCGTTGCAGAAGCGTTTAGACAAATAAGCCGATGACTCATCCAGACTTTCGCAAGCCTGATGGAAAACTGATGGAAAAGACAGGTTTCGCCCGACAGGGACGTTAAAATGGCGCGAAGAAATGGTATTCCGCGATGAGCACGAAAATCACGTGGCACGTTCGCCTCGACATGTCAGTTACAGCGTTCTACTTATGACAGTTCGCGGTCCCATTCAGATCTTGACAAATTTCAACGAACACCTTTTGGTACGTCCCATCACGAATATCAATCCTCGTCAAAACCAGAATATAAGTCTCAATGGCAATTAAAGAACTGGGCAAAATAAAATGAATTAATTTTAAAAAATAGTGTACATATTTGAAAGTTGTATTTTGTTTGCCAAAATCCAAGAAACTTTGCATTCTTAATTTTTCGCTGCAATTATTATTAAAATACTTCAAATACATAAACGCATAAGAGGTTTCGTAACTAATCTCCATTTTGTAGTCGCCGTGGCGGCAAAGTTTGAATTTCAAATATGGCGCGAACCGTGGTAAATGGAATTCATCGTGGCATCATTGTCTCTAAACTATTATTTCGTTTTTTTTCTTAACGGCGTGGAGGGTTTCTAAAGACAGTAATTTTCGCGTTGCCATAACCGTGGTGGTTGTAGGCGTACGAACCTCTGTCCTTGACGAAAAGTCCGTATCCACATAAACATCGTAGACAGTTAGGCGTTCCTTTTTAGGCGCGTCGCTAAGTAATTGCGGTCTGGTAACGCTTTTGTCGACGGTCGACGTGTTAAAGAGGCGTTTCGACGTTTCCTTTTTCTACGGCTCGCTTTCCATGTATCTGGCACGTCAAACGGGAACGTATGCAGAAATTCTGAGTGCCAAGGCTTGCATAGCTCCCATCGAGGAACAAGTTTGTTTCTTCGTCTCGACGGAAACGAAAATACACCACTTTGATTTTACTAACGTAATACTACGCCGTCGATTTTCTACAAAAAATCAATTACACAGATACTACACAGTTGAACCTCGATAGTTGTTCACTGCGTTGACAAGTGGAGTGGATGATCGCTCGACGATGATTCTGCTACTGTTAGGTCGTATAGTTATCTTTAAACCTTGATACTTGCTCAGCGTTCTGTCGCGTGTGAATCTAGCAGTAAATTGCATGCGTAAGGTCCGAGTATCGAAACCTTGATACTTGCACGCGAATTCTCCCTGCTTTCCTGCGTTGATGAGCGAATAGT